ACTCTGTCTCTAAAAAAAAAAAAAAAAAAAAAATGATGCAGTTAGTCAAGGTAGGGCAGAGAGGACCTGGCTGGTCTGGTGGGTTTAGGTCCTACATGACCTTCACCTCATCTTTTCCATTCTTTTGTAAATTTATCTCCCACCCTAAAGATATACATCTTTGTGGGTAGATTAGGATGATTGAGTTAGGAGATTAATTTTTGAATAGTAGCTTGGTGTGGTAGCTCATGCCTGTAATCCTAGCTCTTTGGGAAACTTAAGCCAGTGGATTGCTTGAGCTCAGGAGTTTGATACCAGCCTGAGCAACAGCAAAACTCATCTCTACTAAAAGTAGAAAAACAGTCAGGTGCCTGCTGTGGGAGGCTGAGGCAAGAGTATTGCTCCAGCTCAAGAGTTTGAGGTTGCTGTGAGCTATGAAGCCACAGCACTCTACCTAGGACAACAGATTGAGACTCTGTCTCAAAACAAAACTTTGAACAGGAAATGTTGTAATAAGTCATGGATTATGATGATTACTGTTTATGGTCATTGCTTCGAACTTTTATAAATATATATAACTGTAGCTGTGGAAATGGAAGGGCAGAACAGTCTTGGAGATACTACTCTGACTGTTCTCCAGAATTGCTGGCCTTCTGATAATAAAGCTTGTTAGGGCTCAGCACCTGTAGCTTAAGTGGCTAAGGCACAGGCCACATACACCAGAGCTGGCAGGTTCAAATCCAGCCCCGGCCTGCCAAACAACAGTGACAACTACAACCAAAATAGCTGGGTATTGTGGTGGGCACCTGTAGTCCCAGCTACTTGGGAGGCTGAGGCAATTGAATCACTTAAGCCCAAGAATTGGAGGTTGCTGTGAGCTATAACACCACAGCAGTCTACCCAGGGTGACAGCTTGAGGCACTGTCTCAAAAAAAAAGAAAAAAAAAGGGCAGCGCCAGTGGCTCAGTAAATAGGGCACCAGCCCCCTATACCGAGGTTGGTGGGTTCAAACCCAGCCCCAGCCAAACTGCAACAAAAAATAGCCGGATCTCTTCATTGACACCAAGGGTAAACATAGGAAGGACAGTCCCAGATCAGAGCCTTCCATATACTTCTAGAGTTAGAAGTTGTGTTGGGTGCTTGTAGTCCCAGCTACTCTGGAGGCTGAAGCAAGAAAATCGCCTAAGCCCAGGAGTTGGAGTTTGCTGTGAGCTGTGATGCCACAGCACTCTACTGAGGGTGAAAAACTGAGACTCTGTCTCTAAAATAAATAAATAAATACATAAAGCTTGTTAGACCTAATCCCTGTCTCTACATTTGGCTGACAGTGACAGGCTGCCAGACCCTATTTGTATATTAACATCCAGAGCCAGAGTTTCAGGTTGCTGTGAACTATGACACTATGCCACTCATTCCCAGGATGACGGAGACCCTGTCTCAAAAAAATTAAAAAATTAAAAAAAATAGAAAAGAAAAGAAAAGTTTGGGCCAGAGGAACCCAGATCTCAAACCTACCTCCGCCACTTCTTACCTGAAATCTTTGATCTTTGAGAACATTTTGACTTAGTTGAGCCTTAATTTCCTCATCTGTAAAATGAAGATACCAATATAGTACAAACTTTACAAAATTGTTATGTGGTTATGTGAATTGAATAAAATCAAGGGCATAGATGCATATATCTTTTTTTCTTTTTTACAGAGTCTCACTTTGTCACCCTTCATAGAGTGCCATGGTGTCATAGCTCACAGCAACCTCCAATTCTTGAGCTCAAGCAATTCTTTTGCCTCAGCCTCCCAATTAGCTGGGACTACAGGCCTCTACCACAACACCTGGCTATTTTTAGAGACAGGTTCTCACTCTTTCTCAGAGCTGGTCTTGAACCTGTGAGCTCAGGGCAATCCACCTGCCTTGGCCTCCCAGAGTCCTAGGATTACAGGTGTTAGTCACTTCACCCGGCCTGCATAGATCTTTTTAAGAGATGTCTTGATCTGTATGATCTGTACCCAAGGCTGGAGTCCAGTGGTGTGATCACAGCTCACAATAGCCTTGAACTTCTGGGCTCAAGCAAACCTCCTACCTCAGTCTCCCAAGTAGCTGGGACCACAAGTGCCAGCTACTGCATCTGGCTAATTTATTATTATTATATTATTGATACAAGGTGTCACTACATTGCCTAGGCTTGTCTCAAATTCCTGCCCTCAGGCAATCCTTCCACCTCTGCTCACAAAATGCTGGGATTACAGGCATAAAGGGCCAACCTTCAGCCAAGGGTATAGATTCTGTGTATA